AAGAGGGAGGGGACGAAAAGGGTGGGGGGGGGGAGAAGAGATGTTGCCGGCTTTAACCACTGGTCGCTTCATCACGGATCCTTTCTTTCTCTTCTCCGGGTCGAGAACTGTTATTGAACCTGAATTTCTTCGCTCGAAAAAAAAAGTTTCTCGCAGCTTCCTCAGAGGCATGATTAACTCACGCACGCACACGAAAAAGGAGCAGAAACCGGCATCCGACGTGGCCACGCGAGTCCTTCGATTTCTGGTATCGATACGCACTAACGCGTTTCTAAGATTTCACGGCTGTCTTGTCACGGGAAATTCCCAAGCGGGGAACGGATTTCTATGCAATTATGCGATTTATTTCCCCGCAGCGGCATCAGCCACGCGATTTATACATCACATGCTATTCATTTATCAGCGTCAAGAAACGCCTGAAATGCGTACTTCGGCGTTCGTCCCGTCCTGCACGCGCATTTCACTTTTCTGTAGCACCGAAAACGTCCTCAAGTTCCGAAGGACCTAGGAAAGGCCACTCCCGATTGTGCATACTTTTATGAAATCTTCCTTGTCCTGGGTGTACGCCGGATTTGCATAATACGTTTTGCATAATTGATTTTTCATACGTGAATCTGCATGATAGAATTTTGCATAATTTATGTACTAATTGAAATCATAATCGATAACAACGACTGTATAAATTTGAATTTTTTTTTAGAATTATGATTTTGGGGTAATTGTTAATTGGCTAATTACTTACACGTTGAAGGGTCGAAAGGAAGTCCGCCTTAAAGAAAAAATCGAGGAGAGGCCGATGTGCGTGGACCTCTTTATCGCTCGTGACTGGGCTGTTCTTTTGTGGAATGGAAGAGTCGTCTATATGCATGGAACCTTTATTTTCGAAGGACAATAATACTTGCATGCTGGCGCGCTCACAAAAAGTTTCCGGGACCTTTTTCACGCTTGTGAGCGGAGCGACATTCCTTCGTCGATTTTTTTTTTTTTTGCAGGGATAATGCGAAAATTGGGGATCGTGTGGGTGTGGGGAGCGGGGTTAACCCGACGGTTAACTGGACGGTTAAGGCCCACTGACCCACTGGAGGTTTTGTGCCTTTAATGAGACTAATTAGGGAGGACAGTGGCATCCCTTAAAAGGGCTGCCGAGTTTGGCAATCGGTTGGCGTTTTCCTTCGTGCGAGAGGGAAATGTGAGAATGAGTTAATTATGACTTAATTTGCACTTTTGAAAATTATGGGGGAAGCCTGCAAAAAGTTTTGCAGTAGTTCGGACCGTCACGGAAGCTCACCGTTGGCGAAACTGCTGGAAATGTTTGAGGCGCATTTCCGAGCTCTTCTTTAGGCGTTTCATTTGAATTAATGAGCATTGATATTAATGAGCGTGCATGTTAATGAGCATTGCAGAGGCTTCCCGGCGAATCCAGACCAGCAGCCCGACTCGAAAGGGAGAAAAGTTGGTCTGCGGCGAAAGGAAACGCGGACCGGTTTCGTTCGATGGAGGAATTTACTAGAAATTTTTTCGAAAATGACAGCTGCTCGAATCGAACGCATGGTGGCTTAAGACCGGTTCGGAAGCTTAAGATCCTCGGCTTAAGACCGGTTCAGAGGCGAATTTTGCAGTGTCGTCGATTCGTCAATCGGTTAAAGCCAAAACCGACCGCGATTCGCGGTATAATCGGCTCCTCGCGACACCCCGCGACGGCATTTGAGGCACTCAGACGATTCGCATCGTCACGATATTTGCATATTTGTAATTTGCATCTCTTTCCCCACTTTCATCGAGAGGGAAAGCCGGACGGGGAGATCATCATCCTGTTCGCTGTGTCCCGGTTAGATGGAATAGATTTCACCGGCACTGACACACGGCTGGCACCGGCACATGACTGGCACCGACATCTGGCTGGCACCGGCACACGGCTGGCATCGCGATCCGGCTGACATCCAAGGGGAGACGGATCAGGGAAGCGGTTTAATTTTGAATCCCCGGTTTAATACTAAATCCCCATCCGGGCGGAATCGAAATCCTCCTCGCGGAAAATAATCAGGCGAAGACGGACGAGCTCTCGGCGCCCGTCGACCGGATCCCGAACAACGGCGACGCGCTCCGAGCGTCACGAACGGACCGGCCGAGGACAGGCGATTGCATCTCGCCTCTCATCCGGACCGTGAAACTCCTGCTGCGCGGCGTTTTTATATCTTTCGTGGCTCACGACACGGTTTCATCACCCGTGTTATTTCCTCGTGGACGCTTTTTCTTCGCGGATAAATCTCTTCCGCATTTTCCAAGTTTAAAAATTTACGCGAAGTTCAATTCGACGCGAACTCGATTCGATCGCGGAATGCTCCGTCGGCTGGCGCGTCTCCAGGGAGTTCGCGATGGAACGCCGACGGCTCGGATGTCAAAGAAGCGATGAAGATTTATCTCCCGCGCCCGTCAGAGCCGTTTTATCTCGTCCCCGCAGCATCTTCATTCGCATCTGGGATCGAGACTGCGCGACCGCAGTCGAAATCCGTCCCGAGAGACATCTAGCGGCGATCGAGGCCGTCACTTTTTACGGGAGATCGTGCGGCCGTGCCGTTTCGGTACCACGGGAAGTACTTAGTTTTCGGGCGTGATTCCGAGGGGGCAGAGGTCCTAAAGGTTTATATGCCGGTAGCCGATCCCCATTTATCTCCGACCCACGAGATTAGGAAAGGCCATAATGCGATCGCGTGACTCGGAAACGAATATGCGAGTGGGAGCACGCAAAAGGTGCTGCAGGAGCACAAGCGCAAAGCGATCGATAAAAAAAAAGTGCAGCGGTCGACATGATGCCGTGATGCGGCTGAGAAACGAGCGGGATCGACGGAGACTCGAAAGAGTTCATCGGGGATACGTAGTGGTGATTTTAACGGGCAGACGCGAAAAATCCTCCTCCGGATCCGCCCCAGGAATCCCGGAGCAAAAATCGTCCGGGCCGGAGCGACCCGGCGTCAGCCGAGCGACCTTGAACGCGACGTCGTCGACTTTCCCCCGTTCGAAAGGAGGCAGATGTTTGTGCGTCCGACCCCGATAAGTATGGAAAGGCTGCTTTTCTCCTTCCTTTCTCTCGGGGGATATCGCCTGGCGTTTTGCATTCCTGGGAACGCGATCACGTGCTCCTGCACGGGAATGATTTACCTACGCTCTATATTTCATTTATTTAATTACTCGTATGCTTCCCTCGCTCTCTTAACGAGCCCTGGGAGTCATCGAATCGATTCGGGGCAAACGAGGCACTGATTAAATTCGATGCACGAGTGGTTCGTAGCAGGGAGAAGACCGAAAACGAGTTCCAACGAATGCGAATTGCGTTTTGCCGGTGCCGAAGTCCCGAAAGTACCGAAAAAAATACTTTTTCGCGGGAAGGCAGAGCCGTGCATGGCCGATCGTTAGGGCCACGGAGCCCCATAGGGAACGGCACGCATCTCGACGCCTGTTAGGTGGGCGAAGTCTCATTAGATCGGGGGACCGGATAGGAGGTTTTTTTTTCCGGTCGATCGAGTCTCTGAATAACGGGGGATCTTCGTCGTACTTTTCCCTGTTTTCTTCTTCGGACTCGGGAGGGTGAGGGCTTTTCATACGGGGAATGACGGGGGGTATCTCGGAGGATCTTCCCCGGCGGGGCACAAAGAGAGAAATTGCGATGGGGATTCTCTTCCTTGACGTAATCTTTACGGCCCGAAATGACGCAGATACGCGGAATGGAGATGCCTGCTATTTTTGCGGTGAATCCCGAGGGATCCCAGGGCGTTCTTTCTCTTTCGCGCCTCGTTTCTTCGAAACAGAGGAGACAAGACTTAAAAGTAAATTGCGGATATCGTGACTTTCGGTCTTTCGTGTGTTCTGTCGCACATACCAGCTCCCTGAGGAGAAGCCGTGCCAAGTTCTTGCTCGCAGAACGTCTGCAACGATTATAGTATTATCCACGAGCCGAGAAAAAAAAAAGAGGAAAATTTTTGTTCAGCATTTATAGAAATTCACGTATGAGAGGGGGGGGGGGGAAGTGAATCAGAACTTGAAAAAAACGGGCTAATTTTCAGTCCTGTAGTGAAATCTTAGAATCTCGACCGGCTATAAATTTTCCCGTCCTAAGGAAAAAACCTCTCTTTTTCATTATTAAAAAAACACGCCTTTAAGAAACCCAAGAAAATTTGGAGTTTTCTATTTCTTTTCTAATTTCAGAAATAGAATAACTGCTTAAAAACATTGGGACAGAAAGAAGGCAGCAAAAATCTTCTGTACATTTCTTAGCATTTGCGAATTGCAGTTACAAACAGTAATGACCGATCTGGTCAATCTCTACTACAGTAAACACAGGTTCCCATACGAATGTTGATTAAAATGGTCCAAGGTGATTCAATACAAGAGGAGTCGATTCGGCACTCGTGGACCTTTCGCTTGATGTTATATTTGTTGCCATAACAATTATCTGGTATTAAGGTTTTTGTTTCATGTACTAACAATTTTTGTCTTCATTCCTTAATGTATTGCATAACATCATTCCTCATGGTTCAAATTCACTTTATTCCAATATTAAATTTCATTTTTGTTACTGACTAGCTGAACTTCTGCGTTTTCAAAATTCCATCCAATTTTCCTTAACAAAAGTAAAAACGTAACCAAGACTAATACTTTCCTTTTGATTTGTTTTTTTTTTTTTTACAACCTTCTTTTGAGAACACCATCGTAGGTGATACAGGAAAATCAGTGGGATAGGAAGAAAGAAATAGGAGAAAGAGAATGCCAGGTACCAGTGTGCCTGTGGGGATGATTGATGACTGGCACAAAGGGTAAATGCCATCGACCTGATCTCTGCTTCATCAACTTCTAATGTACAGGGTGGTGCAAATGTAACTTGTCCCAAATACTCGAAATACATATGTGAAATACTCGAATTAATTAATTTTGTTTGTTTGTTTACAGAGTGACATCATAATGGCTCATTGTTTGACAAAAGACCTATGAGTGTTTGTTTTGGAGCAATGGTGGAAAACGGAGTGAACATGTGCTGTTGCTGATGCTTTTAACATTCATTTCTCAAGTGTTTGGGACAAGTTACTTTTGCACCACCCAGTGCTGTAATAAAATTTGTGTGGAATCAGAGTTAAATTACATTTTGAAGTTTAAAGAATGGCTGCTTTGAAAAAAAAATCACAAAAAACAGCCTTCATATGTAGTACTGAGGCAGAAGATCCAGTAGAGGAGTCAAGAATAAGATGAAGGAAGACAGTGTAGAAAGGGGGTGGTGTCAACATCTAGTGTTAGCTAGCTAGCAAGAGATCAAAGGCTCCACCTCAGGCAGAGTGATGATGAAAACATAATTCACAAAAAAATAAGAAAATTCATAAAAACAAAAAAAAAGGAAATGCATGACCTGCCTCCCAGATGGAAGCAGAAGAGAACAGAAACTTCTTCGAAGAGACACGATGAGGTGTCTGTCTTTCTAACTGTTTCTTGAGTAACATCCCTGTGCAGGGTCTCCACCAGTTGCTTGACTGTCACCGTTCCCCACCATCCCCTTGAACATGGTCTGAAATTCAAAATTAGTATGATCATCCCTCATTGTATGAATCCCAAAATCTTTATTATAACTCCCAATTTATATTTTATTTTATTTTTCTTCAATGGTCTTCCCTCCATTCACCAGGAAGCAGGCCCTGCACATCTCAGTCATTATCTCTATTAGTTATTGTTTTTTATATCTTTATACAAGCAATACTTTAATGATACATGAACATTACCAGTTTTTCAAACTCTATGCCTATGATGCAGCCTTTGATACATTTCCAGATGCTGTCAGTTTATAGACTTTCATACCACATCCTTCCTTTCTCTTCTCTCCTGCTGCATTCTGCACCTTCTCTCAACACCCATGAAATCCAATTTCGGTTGGCATGTTCAGTTTCTTTCCATTTCTTCATGCAAAAATAACTTCATTATTATTGTATAATCTTTTTCATGCGTTTGTTTTGGTCAGCCCAGCTTCACTCTGGTATGTATAAAGTTGATGAGTACTTAGTTGGAGTAAAATGTAGCTAGAGTTTAAGGCAGTGATTCTGAGCTGCTGATTAATACATCACACTGACTCTCAGACATCTAAGCAATTGTATAAGGAATATCTTTCTCTATGAAAGGCCTCTCTAACAAAGCTACCAATCCTGCCACCAAGGTCTTTGCACTTCTGTCGGTGCAATGATCTTTGGAGGCCATGGAAGCATCCTTAATATGCCATGGTTCATTGTTGAAACAGCAACTGGTGCCCACTTTAACTTAGTTAAAAATTAGTTTTACCACTGAGGGAAACTCACTCACCTGCTGTACCTAAGACACCTAATGAGAAAGTTGACAGTCTGAAATAAATGAGTGATTACAACCACTAGTTCTGGTCATCATCAAAAGAGCGGGCCAAGAGTAGTTCAAGGGCCTTCATCAACAGCCTGTTCCCACCTGAAATCGCTCACAAGGTCCCTGTTTCACTTCAGGATTCCAAACTTAAGGCAAGTTACCTACATATATATCCAAAATGTTCATTATCACCATGTATTATGAAATTGAAAGTGGCATTACATCTTGATATAGTTCTATGATGAGTGCCAACGATGGATCAAGGATGTGGATGAGAATCCAGAGTCACTCGAGGAGATGAGACTCTTTGAAGAATCTTCCTACTTTGTCAACATGACTGAAGACATTTCCCTGAGGCTTGGACTATCCAACATCACCAGAGGTACATAGTAGTACTTTGAGAAATTTTACTAGAACACTAAAATTTCTAAGTGATGTATAAAATAAATGATAAAATGTCTTTCAGAGGACCTGGAGATCATGTATGAAAGCTGCCGCTTTGAGGTTGCATTACAACTCCCCAATGCACCCTGGTGTGCTGCCTTTTCACCTGAAGATTTTTTTGTAAGTTTTAGTGCATGATTCTCACATACAGTATTGCTTTGAGGAACAATGGTGGACACAGAAATTTTCCTGTTTCATTTCAGATACTTGAGTACTGGCAAGACCTCAAATACTACTGGCAGGATGGATATGGATATTCTGTCAACTATGAACAAGCCTGCCCTCTTCTGCAGGATCTGGTTATGCATATTAGGTAAGCCAAGTCCTGAACTTACTCACACTGAAAAGTAAGAAATATACTAATGCAAAATGTGTATTCCAGGGCAGCAGAGAAGGGGGCAGAGAAGAGGAAATTGGGGGCCTTCTATTTTGCCCATTCGGGAACCCTTGGAAAGATGCTAGCAAGACTAGGGCTCTTCCGCAGTCCTGAAACCAACATGACTGCAGAGGATTTTGAACTGAATCATGATCGGGAATGGCAGACGACAGAGATCCTTCCATTTGCTTCTAACCTGATTGTTGCCTTATACCAGTCAGTCTTAAGTTTCTGAAGACAGCTTCTGAAAGTAACAGCTTTCCATTATCAAGGCCTAACTCACTGAGTTTTTTTTTTCCCTTTTGCAGTACTCCAGAAGGCCCTCAAGTCATGACATTCGTTAACGAGCGTCTAGTCGGACTGCAAATGGTAGACTCCTTCCTGGAGGAGTTTGGACCGATTGCTGACAACTGCAGCTTCAAGGAAATCTGCAAGCTTCGGTGATGCTATGCAAGCTGGTTCTTCAATATAATATCTCACAGGCTACATACAAGAATATGAGAAATGGAATAAAATTAATCTTAATATGCCCTGAGATCCAACTCTTCCCAGTGCCACTATCACAAACTTGGAGGAATATGCTGCACAGGCATACACATTCATATCATATACATATCACAGCAATGGAAAACAAAAAATAAACTCAGGAGACAGCACCATAGGACTGTCTGTGAGATGATACAGAAGTCAGATAGTCGTCTTCTGTGTTCCGGTGAAATGAGTACCAGATTTCTTCCTTCAGTCTCAAACAGAATGCTTTTGGCTCTATCTCATCTTCTGTCTGGAAGTCAAAGTCTGCCACCTCAACTGCATACCTATAATATACCATCCTTCTTTTCCTTAAAAAGTTCATGGGAATTTCTGGAAAATGAAACAAAAGAACTCACTGGCTTCTGTGTTGGAAGTAGAAGCCAAGTCCAAAGACAATGATGGCAAGAGCAATGGTGCTACAGACAATGGGTATCACCACAGTGGACAGCTGAGGCTTCTTGTCGACTGTTTCAGACAAGATGGTACACAATTACCCATTACCTGCTCATATACACTCACACGATGAAGCAGATTTAACTGACCATCAAAGACATGAACAGCAATAGATCTGGTCTGATGATCCACATCATTGGAGATGATGATAAGAATGCTGTAGGATCCAGGATAGCGAAAGTAATGCAAAATTGGGAACTGACAGTCGGTGGTCACGCTTGGATTACCACACGTCTCTTTTCCTGGAGGGGAAAATGAAAATAGTTAATTATGGGACTAAGATTGACAGAACAATACCTGAACTCTGAGCCAGACAGGAAGCATACCTGTGACATTGTATGTCCCATTCAATGCCTGCCAGCAGTAGAATACAGGCCCACTTCCAGAACAATGGACCTGGAGCTCCAGGAGGTCTCCATGCTGAAGCCAATTGTTTCCTGTCACAGTAAGCTCTGTGATCAGACCTGCAAGTGCAGCATAACAGAAATCCCCATATAAATGCAATTCAGGACAAATGAAGGAGTTGACATGATGAGAAAAGAAGTACTGACTGGCAACCATGAAAGAAAGGGAGAAGAGGCCAATCTTGGGTGCAATAGGAAATGAGTCCTTTGGCTTTTTTGGCAGTGCTCTGACCATTGGGATGTGATCCTTCTGTTTAGACTTAATTTCTGACAGCAGTTTTATACTAGGAACAGATGTGGGTATTGATCTGACAGAGACATCAGTGACATTCAACTCTGGAGGTTTAGTAGGGGTAGTAGTAGTAGTAGGTTTAGTAGTAGTAGTAGGTGTAGTAGTAGGTGTAGTAGTAGTAGATGTAGTAGTAGTAGATGTAGTAGTAGTAGGAGTAGTAGTAGTAGGAGTAGTAGTAGTAGTAGTAGGAGTAGTAGTAGTAGGAGTAGTAGTAGTAGGAGTAGTAGTAGTAGGAGTAGTAGTAGTAGGAGTAGTAGTAGTAGGAGTAGTAGTAGTAGTAGTGGTGGTGGTGGTGGTGGTTGTAGTTGTTGTTGTGGGGGGAGTGAAGGAGAAAATGACGGCCGATGTCACAGAATGCATTCCCAACGTAAGGTTGAACATGGTATAATTAAAGCCAGGATGATACCCCATTCCACTGCCATCTATGAACCACTGACTTTCAACTTCAGTGGCTTTGTCAAGGAAATGACTCGGATCATAGAAGTCCACTGTGATGTTGGCTGGGTACTGGGATGCGACATAAACCATATTGTTTTTTGGCTGCAAGAGTGTTCCATTCTGATAGATGATCATCTTTCCATTCAGATAGGCTGAAATAAGAATGACACAAAATGTATTAGGTTCATACTTAAGGATAGGATTATACTAGGTTGTAACGAAAGTTTTTGTGCATAAATACAAAATTTATTTTAGCATCATTTTCTAAATAAAATTTTTTTGTTTATATATGTATTTGGTATCATTTTGAAGTGCGTTTTATGCTGTGTATAAATATATGTTACTCTTTTTTTTACAAATTGCTAAATTTATAAAAATTACAGCATTCAGAATGTGTGACAAAAAAATAGTGCTTCAAGGACTGTTGTGGTGTTTGTAATGCACAAAAACTTTCGTTACAACCTAGTAGAAAATACATGAACACACTTTCTAACAAGTAATCTCACAAGTAATTTTCATGCAAGCACATAGTATGTCCCAGGAAGTGTGAAAAAACTGGATCTTTCATCTGAACTTATGTGACAAGTATAATGACTTTAATTTGTTGCTTTGCTTGGCTTGGCTTCTCTACAGGATGTGGGAAGAAGAAAAAGGATACATCCCTGAAACATCCTCCAGGAAAGTTTTAAATTAGCCTTTGAGCTCACCTTGGTACTAATTGAGCACAAGGGCTGAAAGCAGTTTTAAATTATTTTATGACCATTTCAATCATAATTTCACTCATAGGGCACTTGGTCTGAAGTAGGGAATCCAGTCAGATATTGCCAACTCAATTTTTAAAATGGGAACCAATTAGTTGTATTAGTACAACTGATATTGTCATAAAAATATTGAAATTGAGGATACCATTATGGAAATTTTAATGCAAAATAACCAAAACAAGGCCAAAATTTGTTTGGTGTTGAAAAGGTTAATACTAGATTGGGTGCAGTAAGCATTGTTGACGAATTTCATTTTCACTTTCTTGGATGGGCCAAGATCACATATAAAAACCCAAAGGATTATAGTGTCTTGCTGAAATGAATAGAGCTTTTCTCACCAGGGGCTCATTTAAAAAATCAGGTCATGCATACTGACAAAAGCTAGAACTACTCTCACAGGGTCCACACTAAAGGATATCCATTTGTACAAATGGCCACTGTATCAGGACAACAACTTCAGTGTCTGGGCATCAGTAGCAGTTCCAGTTTGAGAGTCGTAACTTCAGCTGTGAAACATATGCTTTTGACTTGAGAAACCCTTAAGAGATACTCATACCTCCAGGACATTTAGTCAGGCATACCACGATCTGCACCAGTAATCTGGCAGCACTAGATCTTCAAGAGAATACAGCAAACAGGTCAGGGCTGCACATGCACATAAAAATTCCAGACCTATAGATCCTCATTAGTCTTCACACTTTTTTGTATCATTGTCCTTACATATGCCTCATGTTATATAAATGCTCAACTCAGAGGATAAATTTATCTCGTTTTACTGTTTCATTCATGGTTCCCTTCTCAGACACATCCCATCCCAAGCAGTTGAAATCTAGTGGAAATATGAGAGTTTCATACATCAATAATTATTCTTACTTGGTTCCCTTAAGTGAGGGAGCACAAAAGCATATGTGAGTGGTGGAGGCACCATGATATGAAGGGGTAACTCCTGATCACAATCATCAGGTATCACTCAAGTTGCACAGCCTCCAGTGCTGTCACCATTATGATGATTATGACCCTAATGCTATATTCATTCAATAGCTAATTGCAGGAGAGAAATATAAATTGAAACAAAGACCTTAAAACTCACAGGTGATTTCAAAATCTGTCCGATTGGATGCAATGGTTTGCATCCAACCAAGAATTCCCTTCTTCATTGCTTCAACCTTCATGTAGTACTTCCCTTCAATGAAGTAAGTAACCTCCAGGCTTGCATTGGTTTTGTTTGTATGTATCTCCCACTAAAAATGAAGGATACCATTGGGTTAGGCCTATGGAAATAAGCTTGTATTCACAAATGAGCAAATAATTCAGGATTTTGCTTACTTGGGAATTACAAAGTGCAAAGCTTATCATTTTGCACTAGATTGCAGACTAACCAGCATTAAAATTATTGATTTAAAATATGCAGTTAATGCGGAGTCCTTTTAACATTTCTTGACATATGTGCTGAGCCTTAATTTCCTTTGTCTAATTCAGAACTAGGCATTTTAATTCTGGAATAGCATTAATGGTGAATAATAACACCACTCTTCACACTGCTAGCCTATGGTAAGGTTGAAATCCTCACAAACAAGAGTCTACAGTATTCTCACAGAGCAAGGATATATGGAATGCGATAAGTCTAGAGGTGGGCATATGCAGTTTTTATAGGTTGTAGGGTTTGAGCTAATGAAGGCAGACCTTTAGCTTTTGTTGAATATAATCCACTCATTAGCTCTCAATTCACATAAATGGTAATACTAAGCTTGATTTAATAAATTTACTTTTGAATTTTTACATGTGTCTATTCCAAGTCATGATATAGCAACACTGTATCACTACCATACATAATTTGTTCCACTGCCTTCACTTCCAGAGTAAGAGTGTAATCCTAATTGAAATCACCCCATGGATAACATAATACCATCACAAAACTGGATTGAATTTGCTGTGCAGGGTTCATGTGGCAAAGGAAAAATGTTTTGCATTCTTCATGATGTGACTAATAACTCAAAAGTTATGCACATTCAAGATTAGGCTCTTGATATTGCATAGGAATCATTGTCAAGTTTGGGATTACAATCCGTACTTGAGGACCAGGATTAATTTTTAAGGGAAAACAGGGGATCATGTAAATTTACATCACCCTTAAGAAAGACTATGAAAGAATGTAATGAAATGGGATTTCAGCAAGCTTCTCTTCCCAAATGAAGGAATTTTTCACCTTCTAGGGAAAATTTTATACATTTTGAAGTTCTTTTTATTTCTGGCATTTTCCATTTCTTCCCAGTTTTTACCATTGGTGGAAAAAAAAAGGGCTCTTTGTTTGGCAAACTACCAAATCCTGAGTCTGATACTGAAGCTCCCTTCTAAACTCTACCATGTCCTTCTCTAAACCCTCTACACATGCAACTTCATCCCAAACACATAAAATCTATGACCTTCTAAAAGCTCCCATCTAAGGATCTATTCCAAGATCCCCAGGGTAACCTCAACTTTATCTAAAGGTTTTCATCAGGAAATATGCAACCCAGGTTCAGGCTTACCAATCATGATCCTAGGTCCCACATCTGGAGAGTCTTACACACTTCCCAAACACAGAGGCTTAGACTCAGAAATAATGTCTGACTTTTTTAGTTTGACCCCCATGTCATATGTCATGGGAGCCAAGCCTACCAAAACCAAGCCCTTCCATTTCAATAAATGTAGCAGGCTTATGACTGCAAGACCTCCTTCAGGAATGGTAATGATGTGGATTCCCCGTAGGAACTAGATTTGGGAACCTGAACAAGGAGCACTGCATGTTTGTCTAGAGCTCATGAATACCAGTGATTATAATAATACCATTCTATAGTCTGTTTTATTTTGTCAAAGAATTATAGTTGACTGATATGGCATAGACATTGGTGGATGAAAGATATTTCTCAGATACATGTTGCCAGTCCTTATTGCTCCTCCTTGACCTCCAGTTTGGGTCTGAAGACCTAACAACCCAGTTTGCATGCTTTGCTTATAGGTCTAGAGCAGTGGTTCTCAACCTTCCTTTTACTCCCATTGAACCTTCATGCATTTGGGGGGTGACACCTCCCAGGTTAAGAACCACTGGTCTAGAGTGTATTTTAAATGAGTTAAAACATTTTTCTTGAGGTGCAATAGTATTTGTGCTTGCTAAAGCATGAAAGCAAGTAAGGTAAGCAGAGCAAGTTAACTTGACCACTATGACCATCATTATTAGCAATACTTTTCTTTATTTGTTTAGTTGCCTTTTTGGAGGTCCTATGGAGAATGATTCATATACAAAGCTTTTGAAACAAGAAAGCAAGACTTGCATGTGAGCCTAAAATCATAGCAGGCAAAATGGTAGAACACCCACTCTGCCATCACCACACACACATACATATGCACTTGGGTTTTGCCTGTTTCTGCAAAACCAATGACCCACAGTAAACATTTTAATTGATGGATGTGTTTAAGTGAAAGAATGCACCAGGTCTGTCTTTCTCTAAGAGTAAAAAATAAAGCATGAATATAGTAAGACTGCTTCCAATATCAGTTCCATGAAGTTTCTGAATATGAGCAGCTAAGTACCAGATATTGTACACCATGTAAAAATTAAAAAAAACCACTCTCACTTCTTAGTTAGTTAGACATCTCTCAGTTCTTTGTTTGAAATTACCACACAAGGCAAGCTGGACTTCTCTGAATCATAGCCTTCACAAAAAAAAATTGCAAGCTATCCTCATGAGAAAGCATTCATTACCCAAATGCTAAAAATTGACAAATGTAAAAATCTACTAATAAACCTGAATCTACATTTATATTGGACCTACTGTTCTGTGTTTATACGAGTACTCTGGACGGCCATCCTCAAACTTGAAGAGGATTTCCTCGTCTTTATGGTTGTAATCCACCAGCCATACAGTGAATTGAATGGGTGCATCAAATACTGCTGGTCCATTGTTGGTGACCATCAGCCTTGCCCCAAGTCCTGTTGAAGTGTAGAGAAGAGAAACAGCATTGGTACAGCATTTCCAGTCCTACATTATCTAAATACATGAGCCTGAGATTGGTCAAAAGCCTAGTTTGTCTCAATAGAAAAAAGTACACTTACAGGTAAGGAGGGGAAAGTATTGCCAATAAATTGATATCTGTTTTATGAAGGTAGGCCTAAATGTGGGTATTGACAGGAAGAAGAAACTGTATAATTTCCTGAAGGTAAGTGGTATTTAACATCATAGTCACAAATCTATGCAGTAGCCCCATAAAGTAGGGGACACTTTTAAAATTCCTGTATCTTTAAAGGTGGGCAAAGATATATAATTTAAAAAAAACTGGTTGAAATAAAATCAAGAGCATCCAGAAACATAGATATCCTAAAGTGTCCGGGCAGAAGTCACTTGTATGTTAAGTCATTGTTGTTCAATAAAAATGTAGTCACTTTGATACCATCTGGTCATAGCCATTCTTAGCACAAAGTATTTCATGTGAAGGAAGATTTTCAATTACTAAACAAGGATTGAAACACATCAAAGTCTTACCTTCTGTCAAGACATTATCTACAAACCAAAGGAGAAGCAGATCGTTAGCAAGAATGTGTTACACTGTCAATTACATTAGATGAATTTTTCTAGGAAGGCTTCATCAGCATGGCCAACAGATTTTCTAACAGGGTGTTTTCAAGTGCTTGATTCTTAAGTTTATCTTAACTAATTTTTTTTTAGCCAATATTTTTTATTTATAAAAAGGAAAATGTAAAAGAGCATGTGAAAGTCATCATGTCGATTGGGCTTCGAATAAATGTAATGTGGACTGGTCGAGAGGTCAATAGGCTGGAAAGGTCACAGAAGGTCGGCATTAACGAATCATTAGCGTGAGTCAGTTAAAACTCTCAGAATATTTATGTGAATGAAAAAAGATCACATGAACTCACCGAAGTTCACCCATACGGTCAGGAGACCGACTACGCCAATTCCAGTAACAAACATTGGCATGCCATATAATGGCCCCACTTATTGGCCAACGTTAGGTGTAACGTTACGCTGGTCTGCTCTGAGAGGCTCTTACATTTCAAGAGACCAATACAGGTGCGGATTAAAAATGCCTTGTTCAAGCACAACTGGAGCTCAAATAAAATTCAGCTGCTTTAGTTTTGGCAACTTAAAAACGAAACTGAAACGAAACCTTCACGCGAAGGAAATTCCTTGCGTCTAAGGCTCAAGATCAGAGCAGGCGGCCATATTGGAATGGCGGCCCCCATCTGTGCATCTGATCCACATGACTTGTCGGATGCCAGATCTATGAGGAGGGACTCGGATGAAATGGGCGGAAGACTGTGGGCGTGAGCTCCACCAGACTTAGGAATTCATGTCTGTGTGACTTCCGGGCAAAAAGTGGCGGTATTGAATGCATAACGCCGAGTTGTTTCTTTGTGAGATCCATTTATGCCACTCGACTTCTACCCAGGTTACCCAAGAAAAGCTGCCTCACTTATATGAATAAAATCCAAGCCAGCCTAGCCTGTGGTCAATTTTATCAATGAGAGGATTTGGCTCTCTAATTAGTGTACTAGAAGGTAAGGGGTTAGTTATATTATTCCTGGACAATTTGCAATTGTTTCACAACTAAATAAAAACACTACCTTGCTGGCCGATGGCTTGTTCAGTTTTTTGGGTTTCATACTTGCGATCGTCTTAATAGGAGAGCAGTCAGGCCGTTTTTGGTTCTGAGTCAATAGGGGCTGTTTTTAAAAGGTTACAGGGTGTGGAATGGAATTTCAAATAGTACTTTAGCCTTGTGGGATAGTGAAGTGGATAGTGGGATAGTTCATCCATTATCCTAACATTTTTACTGTTCTCTACTTTTAAAGGTCTGTTTTAATCACTGGGTCTAGGCCTAATGTGTGGTTCCTGCAGTTACATCTAGCATTATTTGGTGGTGGGAATACCAGGTTAATCAACTCTAAGCCCTGGAGTGCTCAGTGGGCAGGTTCATTTAGGCTATTGAGCACACTTTCTTTGTTCCTAGAATGACTACATTTAATTATTAGTTTCATCTCAAACAGTTTAGGCCAAGGCCTCATTTCAGTTTCCTGCTCAGCTTAACTTGAAAATGCCTATTCTCCCAGCTGATCAGGCACGAAAAAGAAGCAGTCCATCCTGACCCATTTTGACAAAGGGACAGGGGCAAGCCCTTTTGTCTGCAATGCGCCTGGTATCAGTTTGAGGAGATAAAGCGTCAATGAGCAGCAGAGATTCCTTTGATTGGCTGACATGAAATCATGTCAAACCTAGGGTCGGGACATGTGAGCAATGATGCAGCTTCAAACAGCAGCATTTTAAAAAGGCAATGACTGCAGTCTTCTTAATGGATCCATTCCCCAAATCCCACTAATTTCCAGACATTAGAAAGCAATTGAGGAATACTTGCTCACTTTTGCCTGTAGCAGTTCAACTGTATTTCATTTTTTTGTTTAGGTACCCTTTTTTGGAATCATGAGGGACTACCTAGTGTTTGGACAAATCTGTTATAAAATTTACATTTTGAGTCTCTTTTTATCCATTGTCATTCTGCATAAAAGAATTACCAAAAAAATGTCATCCCAAGGATGAGTCTCAACCTAGAATTGTTGCATTGTGATACATATAGATTTTTTGTTCATCTTGGAACATGTGAAAACTTCAAGATAAATCATGGACTGCAGCTGCTGGCCCAAATACATGTCTGACAAGCACTTTTTCCTTGGTGGCATCTCAGATCTGCATCAAAAGTAACTACAATCCCTCTTGGACATTAGCATAGAATCATGAGAGGTGCCTGGAATGTCTTGGAGACTGTGGTCAAGGACATTTTTTCAAATTTTTTTTTTTTGCCACAAATTGCACATTCAGTTTTATCATTGTTCTTCCTTGTCAAGCCCTTCTTAGCTTGATTTCTTGCTTTCTTTTGGCTTTCCCATTTTTATTGTTTCGCTGGATCTAAGAAGCTCTGTATGTCACACCTCTAAATTTTTATATAACTTCATGAGGTAGATGTTCCAGGTGAAAATAATCAATGAACCCTGTAATGTCATGTCCTTCGAGGTCATGATTCCCATGAGGATTATCTCAAACTAAACATAGATATGCTATTATTTATTGTGCCTTGATTTCCCTTTCTTTCAGCTCTGGTATGAGCTACCAACCAACTTTAACATGAAGCAAGGAAGTTTGCTTTTGTGGCCTGGAGGCCATTTTTGCCCCAGGACCAAATTTAAAATTCTTGTCTCGGCTACCATGTGAATTTGAGTTGCAGTGGCTGCCGATTTCTATGTAGTTTTTCTGCCTGCCAAATCCAGTTCAATTCTGACATGCTTGAAGCACAGACCATATGGATTGGCACTATTGAGGTGAAATGACCTGTGTTCTTGTAATTGAGCCGAGTATATCTATTTATTTTCATTATTGCTCCATTTTCTCTACATAGCTGCTTGTTTTCTTATGCTTCCTTTTTTTTTTTTTTTACATAAGACTCCACCTCAAAATGTTTCGCCACGATTGTCGCCAAGGCATAAACCTCCATTGCACTACATTGTGATTCTCCCATGAAAAAAATCCAGAAATCAGAGCATAAATGGAGCAAGAGTCGGAAGCATCCGAGGAAGCACGAAGGCCTTGTGAGCAGGCTGCATTCAATCGTCGGAAGTGCCTGCGTGATCTCACTGCCATCTATCGGAATTCCATCGTTCCAACAGTTCTTCCGTCGCACTACGGCGCAGTAGGTTGGGAGACGCGGGCCCGCTCGGTTCGGCTGGAAGGCCTTCTGTTGCTCATTTAGTCTCGACGGTAACCATCTCGGGCGGTTTAATGCGGCTACACGAATCGGTGCTCGTTAGATGCGCACCAAGAATCCCCTCAGAGCCCCTCACGCCAATGAGATATAAATATGATGACACCGGATCGCAGGTGTTTTACGCAAAAGCTGAACCTCGTGATGTTGAGTTATATTCCTGCTTAGAATAACTCCGAATGATGAATGCAAAACATGCACGAAAATTAGCATTTATTTATTTCCCTTGACCTGTTCCTACCGTCCACGCCTAGACTCAAGAGAAGAGAATCCCAATCAATTGTTGCCGCAAATTTTAAACAAAGCCTCTTCCGGAGGATCCCATTCACCGACGGGGCCATTCAAGATCGCAATATAAATACACGCGAGGGTCGTAGAAGAGCTTAGTGCGTCAGCGAAAGGGAGACGGAAGAAGCGCGTCTAGGCCCACCAATATCGCGTGCCATCCCAACATCGATGAGTGCGTCGAGCGACTCGCCCCATACGGAGAAAAATACCCGGGCTATGCAGGCCACAGCTGACCAATTGACAGGGTAACCGGTCGATATAAACAGGTGGGGACTGATTCATTGTCAATAGGGTGAAACAGATTATTTTGGCCTAATTTCGCAGAACTAGCCTATTTGAGTGTATTCTGCGAAGAGCCTTAAGAGGATCTCCATGGCATCACACTCCACCGAGCTTTTTTTTTTTTGCAAGTTGAATAATATAGAGACGTAAAAGTCAAAGTTTCCAATATCCTGAAATTCACGAATCAGCGACCATTCCGCTCCCTCCTCCCTTTATGTTGCCCTCCCTGTAAAAAGCAAGTCAATATTCAAGGTTGAGCCTCAAGACAGTACCTCATGAAGGTGTAGGCAGAGAGGTGCCATTGTATTGGATGCTGCAGGTGGAAAATATTTTGTAAATCTTGATTCCTGGACAGATATAATGGGCAATAATTTATTCAGTAGACATCATACACATAGTGTCTTTAAAATATTTTCACAAAATCAGTAAAAATGGCATTTAAAACTCTTGGAAGACTTTGGACTTGATGGAACTCTCACTGAAGAAAAGAAGAATTGACAACAGGGTATTTAGAAAGAAATGGGAAATTCATAATTTAATAACCTAACAGCTGAAACCAGTGGCGTATTTTACCGGGGGGCAGAGGGGGCAGCCCTCTGCCCTGGTGCCCATGGGACAGAACTTGGCGCTCCCTTGAAGGTAATAATTTCCCCACCTGGTATCGCTCAGGTGGGGTTTGGTGCCCCCGCGCTGTTGCCCTGCTCCCCCCCCGACCCCTCAGCCAAAATACGCCACTGGCTGAAACTATCACAAAATGAAACAAGGGAACTTCATTCTAGCCAAATTTTTTCAAATGTTTGATTTCCTTTCAGATGGAAAAATATTGCATTTTGCATTAATCAGTTAAAAATGACACAAATCAATGGACCCCTTAAAATGATAAAATGTGCAGATTTTCTTGATTCATTGTAAACATTTTTATTTTAATTGAGTTCATGTTAAAAAAAAACTCTAAAATATTGTAAGAACATGCCCATGTTTGGTCCCTCTGATCCCATTTCAGGTGCTTCCTTTCCAAGTTTTCCAATCTCCTTCCTATTGAAACACAGTAACCTTGATGTTTACCATCTTTCCAGTAGTTGCAATAGTTGGAATATTTCCAATCATCTAGTACTTCCACGTGCTTTGCTTCTTGATCTATTCTTTGGATTTGCAATGATTTTGTCTAAAAGGCCCCAAGTGAGTATCAAGAATTCCCCTATTTTTTTTTGTAAATGCACAAATATCTATATTATGCCATTTCTATTGAGCTGCTATTATCACCTGATTACTGCTAGATGTAGCACAGAGGGGTTGTACTAGAAAATGCAAGTCAACTTTGACAAGATTCATACATGAAAAGTATACCTTTTGGTATTATTACTAGTTCCTGCCGAGTCCATTTTTCTGCAGACCTGCATGTGAGGCTCGTTCACAGGATCATATCAGTTTTTATGAGGCTGTTGACTAATGCTGGAAAACTCACAAGTCTGAATGTACCATAAGTACATCCTTTTATTGGTTAAGAGCGAAGTGCTATCCTTCTTGGAGGTCATGGGTCAGTCAATTTAGGTACCATTAGTATTATTTTAGTTTAATTCCTATTGCAACTGAAGTGTTGCTTCCCAAGATAGGTTAACTGTCTTACTTTTTCGGCTGAATGACAAAGGGCAATGGTTGTTATATTCGTCACTGTCAATATTATCAAAAGTTGTATATTTGTTTTTGATTCCTTTAACCTTTATTATATGGGGTTTTTAAAAACCTTCACCTTGGTCTCCTCATGGCTGGAATTCTGCCCTTTCCCCGAAGGTGATGTATATTATGAAAATATTTATATCATCACTGTTTTCCATGACAATAAAACAAAAACCACATGAAGAACAAAAGTTGCTGTATATCTCTACTAATTCTCACCTTTTCCCCACTTAAAATACAGTTTCACAATGGTTTGTGATTTTTATCTACTTTTTATGATGTTCACATTTAACATGATTTTCCCCTCAAAATAAAGATGTGACATTGTAAGTCTTTATGTAGGAACATGGATTGAATACAAGTGATGTATATCCAAGTAATCCCTCAAGTTTCTAAACACAGTAGTAGTGAGAAGCAAACTTGTCTGCAGAGCTCAGAGTATCAACAAAGTCCATTGTATAAAACAAATATTTCCCAAAAACAGAGCCTGGCACAAATGAAATGACTATATAGGGTGTTTGTATTTAAATGCAACATGGGGAATATTTTGCCACCTGTAGGTGGAGGGCATCTAATGCCATAAGGCCCACTGTGTTGCCTATCTCCAAGGAAACACATCAGTCATAGGTTTCATCCTTCCAAATATACAACCTGGTGAGCTGTATGGCACATGCTGAACTCCACAAACAGGCGGCAAAAATTTCCCTATGTTGTGTTTAAATACAAACACCCTGTATAGGAGCATGTACCAACCTCATCACATGACAATTACATCATTTAAGTTAGAAGCTCCTCTTAGGATCAGAAGGGTTCATTGATGTGACATGTGTATAGTGTTAGATATATCTAACTTTCATACGATAAAGATTAAAGGCTTCAGATTGAACATGAACCTAAAGTGAACCTGCCCTCCTGCTTGAGTGAAGTTAGAGATACTGGCGTGTAAGAGTCTTTGTGCTTAAGTCATGCCATGCCCTTCATTAGAATTGGTTTGCAGTTGGGGCTTTTGGATTTTATCTCATGTTAGTTGAAAGTTTTTCATGAATTAGGTATGGTTCAAATTTGACCTTGATTCTTTGTTAGATGCATTTTCAGGTGATGTGTGTCCTGCACTAGTGATCTGCTTCAGGAGAGCTGTCTTTGTATTTATAAGTGTCTTCAGATATAGTCCTTTTGGGCTGAGTTGCAGGAGCTGAATAGCTCAAAACATCTCTGGCATGGTGATAACAGAAGGCAATGAGAAGTTAGTTCCTGCTCAGGGTCAGAATGAATACCTGGAAGAGTGGTTCAATGATTCCAGTTCGGTCATCATCAAACTTTCTGAGACAATTTCACTCAGTGACAGTGCAGGCAATGCCACTGGTGATTTAACATCCCTCATTATTTTCTCTGCAGCATTTTCTGATATTCATTTTGATGCACACTGTTTTTTTTTCCAGATGGCTCAAAGTTTTTCCTGCCTCCACCATGCTGCATCATCACAGATCAAGGGTGGACTATATTCCTGTGTCTTTTGTTTTTCATCAGTGCTATTGTGATTGCCACTGTGAAGTACCTCCGGTATGTCTCACAGATATATGCTCATATATCTTAGTTGCTGACTTATTGAAGTTGAAGTAGATGCTTTGTAATATGTGCTTTTTTGCTTGAGACATTTCTTTGATTTTTTTCTTAGGAAAGTAACCAAAATGAATTGGTACCTCCAGAAACATCAGGGCACCATCAGGAGATATGCTGAAGGTGAGTCTTTCAACTTACCACTTTTCTATGCTTACCATCATTTGACATCACTATGAGATGTACATGAAGGACATTGGTACAGCCTCAAGTTGAAACACATGAGCCTCTCAGCAATTCTGCTAATTGTTTTTGGCTGAGCAAGTTCAAGATATAGAGTGCCTGCCATTCAATATCAACTTACCAGATATTAGTAACTCAATGTAATCATACTCATGAAACTGTCTGTGCCTTAAAGAGAATTCCTTCCAGACATCCCTGGAGCCATGCCTGTTGTGCCACAAATGACTGGAAGATCCAATATCATCTGCCAATGTGTTCATTAGCCAGTGCCATGGAGAGCAGTTCCAGAGTAATTGGGGCAAAACCTCTTAAAATTTTTGTCTTAAAATTCCTCAACCACATTCATTTATAGGTAAATTGGTTTATATGGTAATGCCTGAGCTCCTTTCTTTGATGCCTAGTACCTCTATGAGTGAGGCCAACCATTTCATTTGATGGCTTCTGCTCACTCCCATAGGACCTGAAATTGGAAATTGGAAACTCTTCTGTGCCACTGCCCTTGAATAAAATTTAAAACAGTGATGATGCTTATGGGCAAGATTTATTTATGCCAGCAATGCTGAATATCTTCCCCCATTTGTTTTAGTTTTGAGCAAAAGATGTGCCATTTCCCATGAAAAAAAAGGTGAAAACCTGTCCTTTTTTCCAGAAAGAGTGGCAGTCTCAGGTTCAATTAAGTTAGACAGAATTGAGATGCATATAAGGTACTTAAAGCTATGGGCAAACATTTTTTTGTAAGTAATGCAGTGTAAATTGCCTCAATCTACATCTCCTTTGGGGAAAAATAATGTTTTGGCTCCAATTTGTGTCAAAAATGTCATTGTAAAGTTTCTGGACTTTATGGCACAGAGTCTAATTGGTTGTTGATAGTTTGCTATCATCAGTAAATTTTGAACTATCCTAGATTGGAATATGACTATTTTGGTTGATTTTCAAAGCCATAAAGATTTTATTACAATGTCTCATGTAGTTGCATTTGTCATCTTCTGGTCTTTTTGACTGAGCAATGCCATGAAATTTCTGATCTGTAATATAATTTTACGTCTACAGGATGGGCCATAAAAACCTTACAGTTTTCAACTATAAACTATTCTGCACTCTCGTATATATTTTAATGTGGCTTGCAGCACTTGAAAGAGGAATGACTAAGCTTTAAAGTGATGTACTTACATTTTTAATATCTTCAACAGTTTCAAAAATTCAGAAGCTCATGTGAACAGCAAGCAAAAACCAAATTTTTTTGGATCATTGGGAATGGAAAGGTAGAGTGACTGAAGGTCACAAGTCATCTGAATCTAAGTGTGCAGCAGTGCTGTTCTTTTAGTTGAAGCATAGTGTTTCATTGAAAACTATAAGGTTTTTTTGGCCCACCCTGTAGACTTCATTGCCGCAATACCTGGAGCACCCTTTCACTCCTGCATTACCCACCCCTTTAATTAACACTTTCAACCCTGATGATTTGAGTTATGGCTATGGAATAGGACATCATATAAAGGGTATGGGGCTGAAATTATTAAGTAGTCAGTCAGCCATCTCCTTTTTGTGTCACTGAGGATGGAGCCTTATTACCGTGATTGCATTTGCTTATTTTATTTTTTAAAAGAAGATGGTTGAATACACATTTGCAAAATATGGTCATTTTTACTTGCAGCAACCACCACCATTTCCAAAAAAAAATGTCATTCCTCCTACCAGTGCAAGAGGCTCAGTAATTCGGACTTCCAAAAGGCGCACCAATTCAAGCCCGTCTGAACTCACTGGTGGAGTGCAAGTCTGCAGATCTTGCTGAATGAGCATCCAGTATATTACATAATTTTTTGTACTTTCTGCCCTCGCTCACCAAAATTTCTCATAAAACAAATCCCCTTCTGCTCAGATTGGTCCGATCGTGCTTCATTCGCTCAGCAAGTTTCAGGGATTCAGAAAAACCTTTTCAATCCTGGAAGCACTGGAAACCTCAAATGGTATATCAGTGTCCAGTTAATCAATTATGAATCAATTGATTTTCATTTTGCTTTGTGGCTAGCTATGCAGTCGACTGCCAGAGCTACAATAAAAATAAGCAAATCCCCCACGAACGTTCAGATATCTGAGGGGCTATTCGAAGGCCATTCGTGCATGAAGCACATTGAAGTCCAGGGGGAAAAGTTTACCGATTAAAAAATAATGAAAGTTGTCAAGGTGGATATATAAGTAGTTCAATGTTTTTAACGAACAGATATGGCACAAGTACCATATATACCAGTGCCATAATCTAATACATATGTAAATTGAAATCTGGGAAAAATCATATGGGAAATGGTTCTTTTGTATAGCACTATTCTATCGTATTCAATATTAATATTATTCAATATAATCAATAGCCATTGCCGCGTTATTTTTTAAAATGCAATATAATGGCATGAAAGAAAAATTCAAATACGGAATCATTTCGTACACAGCGATTGATCCTACTGGAAAACATTCTAAATAAGACAACGTTATCTAAGTTTACGATGAATCGAATCGTGAAAAGAAAGGTCGATATTTGCCGTTCAGTACTGTCCTGATGCATGAGGGTAAAATAGACAGATTTAATTGGAATAGAGTCATGATATTTTTATGAGATAAAATACGCAAAATTCAAACGTTTCCTCCATCTGTCGTGGGAAATAATACGTTTCTGGAAAAAAAATGCAGCACTCTCTATGTATTTCCATCAATAAAAAAATGCGCTTAACGCGACGATATTGCACATTGTCATGGAGCGTGCAGTTTCGTTCTCGCATGTGCAACTGCACAACTTAACGTCATGAAGAGCGCTCTTTCGTCTTTCTAGGAGCAATTCCATTTCGCTGTTTCACCTGTGACTTTTCTCAGTTTTGCAGTTCCACTCTTTTCATCTGTGCCTTACCTGCGTCATGCAATGAAAAGGTTGCGTTGCGTATTCGTCCAAAGATCAAATGTTGAACGAGTGACCGAAATTAGAAGGTTTCGAGTTGTTGTAAGGTTTTTTGTAGTTCCTTTTTCTGAACTATGCTTCTAAATTTGACAAGCTTGGGGATTGTGAATCGCGTTGACCAAATTTGGAGGTTTATCGAGAAAGGAGATATCGGGATGTCCACTTCAGGGGTCGTTTGCCAAGCTGTCCTTTCCTCATTTGAAATTCGTCCCTCACAATTTCACAGTCGCATGTGATGGTGCGCCGCTCCCCAATGTCTACTGCATATCCGCGTGGATAGCTTATGCGCTTAACCGCTTTCGTTGCTTAACCGGATCACGGCTCGATGCTCAAGTTTTCCATGATGGCTGATGGTTGCACACGGCCGATCACATTAAGCTATATGAAGAGGATTCTGTGAAGTTCGTGATCAAACTTTGTCCAGACCTACAGGTACAATACATGTCACTGACACCTTCCTTGCAGATTCCCTTCCTACTAAGACCCGGAACTTTCCAGTCACCCCTCGTATAATAAGATGTGGACATGCCATCTTTCTCAGTTATACGAACAAACAAGGTTCCTACCAATGAAGCGAGATGACGCATCAAATGGCTAGCTTTTCGTTGGTATCAGGGCGAGACTCGCTCTCTAAGTCCCCAGAACTATTCCAACGGTACCTTGTCTTTTCCCCATGGACAACGTACACCAAACATCCATCGGAATCACTGTCCACGTTTTTCATCCAAAATCAATCGATGATTTCTCCATTGATCACACCCGCAGGCACTTGTATCCAAGTTTGTTTATCACTTACAGAAATATGACGTAGACGGGAATATTACTTTGAAATTATTTTCACTACCCCTGGAAAAGCCTTTGTTCATCAATAAGGACGCTTATGAAGCCTTCGGCATACCAGTAAAATACAACCCAGTCTGCACGACAACGTTGACTCAACGTTCATAATATGTTGACGATGTTGAGAGGGTGTTGATGCTAATTATTCAATGCATAGCCTACATTACATCAACATTTTTCGGGCGAGACATCTAGCGAGACATTCGAACAAAGAAGGTTTCCCGATCCCGATGTGAGATGGCGCCAAATCGCTAACACTGGGATTTACCTCTTAAATGCAACTGGCACGCGTCCCTAGTACTTCGGAACGGTGCTTAATATTTTCTCCAAAGACAAAACTGGGGAAGGAATTCGAATTCCTGGATACATTCGATGAAAGAAGCAGCACAATCCAATGAGATCCTTGGTAATACTGGCCCGGGGAACGGAGAGAAAGAAGTTCACGTGTTGATATGACTCCATGAGAACCCCCCCCCTTCCCCCCCCCTTTTATAACTAAAAAATTTATATAATCCAGTCTCTTCGGGTCGTGAGAAAGAATGCATGGAATAATTGACAGCTGTCTCGTTTTTGACTACAGTCACTTTGTATTTCCATCTTTCCGCTATTACCGCGCATCCTCGGCAAAAAATCCATGTCGAGATGGAAGGAGGTGTTGTTATCACGCTGATGATCATGTAGTACTATCGTGTGATCGTGTATCCAAATGCGGCGTTCGAACTGCGCATGCATGTTGAGAACTTGTTGAGACTTGTCTCATTTCAACGTTGAGTGAATGCTGATTCCATGTTTTATAAATTTCTTCAACATTGACTCAACATTGCGGATGTAGAGACTTCAATGCTTTTACTGCGTTGTATCAACATTGATGTGCAGACTGGGAAGCGTACTACATTGCGCAAAATTATGAAAACGGATATTTACGGATGTACTCCTCAAGCTCAAACTCAAGATCCTCAAAAAACCGCTTCTCAAATTGTTAAACGGGTTAAACAGTCGAGAGAAACTCCTGACAATCGTGGAGAGACGTTTCAACGGGGTGTTTCCCCTGTCTCAAGGGAATGATGATAATTTGAAGGCCGACACTTCGAATGCGGAAGCTGATTAGGGAAGAGTGCCAAATGACGGATTTCATCCGTCATTTGGGGTCATCCCTCGTGGGAGGCGTATGTGGAATGCCAACTCTTTGAGTTCATCAATCTGGTGCGCTCCTCGGAATAGCCAAGTTTCTCCTGACAGCCCGTTGCACATTTTCGTAAATAATTAACTTCAGGTTGTGTATTAGACTTATCAGACAACACAAGCTGATATTCCACACTACAACATGCTTTCTGTACGTCCTAGTTTTTTAGGTATTTCTTCTTGGCGAGCTGAAAGTTTTCCCTACAAGATGGTGCGTGGTTCACAGAAAACCTTGAACAAGCGCTAATACCTTTCTTCAAGATCTTTTGTCAGTTGAGGGAGAAAAAGTCTAGGCAGAGATCTCTTCCAGTATTCTAGTCGTCTAGTTGTATAATTTATCCTAATCAGACGTGAGCGTTTCCGAGATATAATGCTAAGTTGTCTTTTTTTCACTTTTTTGGAGATGAGTGTTTTTGTAATTGTTACCATCCAACAGAAACAAAATAAGCTCAACTAGCGGTTTCATCTGCCCTACAGATATTCCACTACTACGAAATCGTGGCCCCCCTCCTAAACCGATGACCGATCCCACCCGACCGGAACATCACAAATCCACGCTCCTCGGTCTAAACTCCCTTTATTGCAAAAGAGAGCCGAGAACGAACGAGTGGGAAGAGCACAAGTCTCCGCGAATCAGCGCGGCCGCAGACTGAAGAGCTGTGTCTGGGACACGCCGCCGTCCTTCCCCGGCGGCAGCGGGGGTCCCAGGTCCGGCTCGTTCACCGACTCCAGCCGTCCCTCGCCGCCGGTGTACAGCTCGAAGATCACGATCTGCAAGGCATCATCATAGTCGCTTTTCAGCATTTCTGTCCTTTCTTTTGCCTTCAAGCACCTGAGGTTAAACTGAAACGAAAGTTTTGATTCCCTTTTCTTTTTATATTACGTCCTACTGTACATTAAAAAGTCTTTTCCACATCTTACAAGCTATTGACAACAACTTTTCTCTGCATCACCCCTAAAGATACCCCACCAACAACTCCAGGACAATAAATTTCAGAAAAATCTGAGATGCGAAAGAAATCCTTTGAGTCTGGTGCTTCACCTGATTTTCCCCAGTCCTAAGAAGGGGAGCCGGGACGTAGAGCGTCTTCTGAGGCCCCACGTTCCAATACCGACCCAGGTTGAACCCGTTGACGAAGACGACTCCCTTGATCCAGGTGTCGGTCAGCCTGAGGAATGTGTCAGCCGGTTCCCCATCGACGGTCAGTGTCCCTCTGTAGAGTCTCGGGGAGTTGGGGTCACCCGCTGGCATCTGCGACCAGAGCTCCGTGTTCTCCGTCAGTCTGGAAATTTTGTTAATATATGGATTACCATGCTTACCAAGAAGGATTAAGTTTGAGGAAGAACAGAGAGCGAAACCGAGGATGAGGCCGGAATTCGCTAGGTTTACTGGGATAACATTTTGATGAGAGACACGGTTGTCTGTATCGATTCTCAACCGATACGCTAACCTTTACCTTTCCTTCCTCATAATGAAGAGATCGGTCCCGGAACACTCACGTCTGCAGGTCTTGCTTGGTGAACTGTAGAGCGACGATCCCGTCGAGCGTGGCCTCCACCCCGTCCAGGAGGAGCGGGCCCTCGGGGAGTCCCTTCCGCTGCTCGAATTGGTGCGGCTGCCCGAAGTTGTTGCGGGCCAGGTTCTCCACCATGAGGGCCAGAGACGAGCCCGGAGAGGGGATCGTCATTTCCTTGTCCCTGTTGGCAGGAGATTTTGCGTTTAGGCGCGATCGCGATGGGTCGTACGACGCGGGGAGAAGGGCCGCGTGTTTCTAAATCTTTCATCGTCGATGGCTCGAGTCGATTTCGGGTTTCGCTTACATTTTGCATCAGCAGAAAAACGGAATTATATTCGTGCAGGAAGTCACTGGTATGATGAAAGGCTCCCACCGAACATCTCCTCAAAGAAGTGAGATCTCTTTACCTTTGCACCCAGTATCCAAAATTATCGAGATCCTCGGGCCTCTGAAGCGGCGGATTGACGACGGCACCACCGACGAGGACGTAGGCCATGTCGCGGATGTGTCCCTGGGCCTTGAGCACGGCGCCTGCATTCACGCTCCCGGCCAGCTTGTAGACGACGAAGCCGAACTGCTGGCCGACGTCGGCCTCGGCGTCCAGGGTCAGCTCCTCCATGCTCAGCCAGGGACCACCCATCTCTGGATTCTCCAAGTTCTCCTGCGAAACCCGGAAATGGCGAAGAAAATCCTCACCGGTTTCGATCAGGACGTCGAGATTTCTTACCTGGCCGATGAGGGCGACGATATCGTCGAATTCCATGTAGTGAGTGACGCTGATGGTACCGTAGGCCGCTTTGTTCGTCTCGGGCGGCCTCTGTCCCGGCTCCAGCTGGTTCAGAGGCGGGAGGCCCCCGGTCGAGCCGTCGTACTGCTCGCGGATCACCTCCACCGCGACCTCGTACTTCTCGGTGTAGTCGCCGGCCTCCGACAGCAGGGCGTCGTAGTCTGAAAGGTGGGATCGCTGGGTGAGGACAGAACACGCCGGGGTTTCGCGATACGCACGAATTACGAAATTTTCAGCGCCTCGTCCCTTATTTTCCTCAGGTTTCTACGCTGCAGCCACACCGCAGAAAAAACGCATTGCAGGGTAATTCGATGCATGGACGTGCGTTCTTTCCGACTTGCCGGACGAAATGTCAGCCGAAACGACACAACGGAGCTTTCACCGTCTGGACATCCACGAGACGTTTCCGTTCCGCCAGCTGACGTATGCGTTCGGATTCACGCCCGATTCACTCAGGGATAAGCAACCGAACGTCTTCGCGTATAAACATTTCCGCGACCGCGGTTACAGAATACTTGTACGGTTCGATTCGGTGGGAGAAGGTGCAGTCGGATGGGTAACTGCGGCTAACGATGGGTAGCGATCGCTTACCGTAGCTCGTGACGTCGGGTGCGTAGTAAGGCCAGAAGTTGAACACGTTGGCCCCGTTCATGAAGCCGAAGTTGGTTCCCCCGTGGAACATGTAGAAGTTCACCGATGCTTTCCTTTGGAGCATCTTGGTCAGTTCCGACCTCATCCCTGGAGGAGGTCGGAGGAAATGAGGATTTTGGAAGGATTTGCACATAAGGACAAACGATATAATAAAATAATGTATAGGTATTCACATTCACATTGATATATTTTTTTTAAACATGGAACAAAGGATACGGCGTACATTCGGGGTCTCGGACCTGGTGGTATTCCTCGAGCCAGTGGTCGAACCACCCCGTCCAGAATTCGGTGGCCATGAGGGGTCGGTCGGGTTGGAGTCGCAGCAGCTCGTCGAACTGCGCGTCGGAGTCGGTCTGGAAGTTGGCCGTCATCAGCACTGAAAAAATTGTAATTATTTTTGATGGGGAGATGGGGTTGGGGATGGGGGGGCCTGTCGTTTACCGCCGGGGATGGCTCCGAGGGTCCCGGTGGCGAGGGGGCTGTCGGAAGTGAAGTAGAGGACGTCGGAGCCGAATCCGCTGGATTGCAGGATCGACATGACCGTCTCGAGGTATTCCGTGTCGCGGATGCCGTCGTCGTAGCCGAAGGCGCCGTACTCGTTTTCCACCTGGACGAGTGCGAAAGGGAAATTTATGCAAAATGGTAATTAGTAATTTGTGGATAAGGTAAAGATGAAGGTATCAATAGAAAGGTGATCGGAGGACCTGGACGGCGATGATAGGATTCGGTTGACCGGCGTTGTTCCAGACGAAATTCTGGACTCGTTGACCGACGGTCCGGAGGTATTCCTCGGCCGGGGCCACGTATTCTGGATCCGAAGTCCTCACCTTCATCGACGTTCTCAGTAGATAACTTCAGGAAGGATATGCATGCAACCGTTGCTAATTCGAAGCAACTAAGACTCATGATGTTTTACCCTATGTAACCAGAGTGGCCAAAAGAGGAGGACGAAAGCGGTGCCAACATTCAAGAAGTTAGTTTCGTTAAATTACTTGCCGGTTGTATCTTGATCATTTGTTGCAATGAAGCCGAAACGCGTTTAGACAGTATTTCAATCAGGAGAAAGGTCTTCATCGCCCTGTGCACATTCCTGACGACCCTCTGGAGCGACTGACCTGGGGAGGCCGCCGAAGTCCCACTCGGTGCAGATGTAGGGCCCGGGACGAAGGATCACGAACAGCTCCAGCTCTTTCGCGATCTCGAGGAAAGTGCTGAGGTTCAGGAAGGGAGACATGTGCTCGTTTCCGTCGCCGAAGTCGAATACGCCCGGCCGGGGGTTGTGCAGGTTCCACGGGACGTACCTGGTCAGAAAGAGGGAGGCCGTGGAGCGAGGAGGGTGGAAGGGTCTCGCGAGTGGTTCGAATCGGTTCTTACGTGTCCACGGTGTTGAGGCCCAGGGCCTTGAGTTTTAGGAGTCTGTCGCGCCAGTAGTCCGGGTGGACCCGGTAGTAGTGGATGGAGCCGCTGAGGATGTGGATCTTCTTGCCGTTGAGGGTGAAGAATTCTCCTTCTGCCTTCAGGGGTTCTGTGATTCCCCCTTCGGAATACCACTCGTAGAGTGAGGTCTGACTCCTCACGCCGGCCATCTGCGGTAACAACGGAACAAATAGATCATCCATGAGATTCCAACGAGACGCAAGTGTGATTTAGTCCGAGTGCTTTTAGAGTAACATCGAACTCTCCCTTGCTGTGCCAGCTTCTGTTTTTGGCATTTGATGCTTGACCCAGTAGCTTTGGTTTTGCCAGTGGCTCTATGCCGATGGCTCTATGGCTCAGGTTAGACTCAGTTGTCAGTTTAATGTCAGTTCTTTAAAGGAGGAGGTAAAAGCAAAAGAAGCAAAGGAGAACCATCCACGACTTCGACGCGCATCTTCATTTAGGGGTCATTCCAAAGCAATGAACGTAACCGTTGAAGAAAGACACCTTGCCTCTCGACTGGAAATAAGCATTTAACGATGACTCCGAGTCGAACACCCAGTTTTTACGCTGTTTACTTCACATCAATCCACGTCATGGATGCATTTGTAATAGACGTTAATTGATCTGGGCTGACATGGCCTTTAAAGGGATAGATATCGCAAATCCCCGCGGTCAGAAAGGAAACGCAAAGGAAATTCTATGCAAGAGACTATGTGCAGCTGAAAAAAAAAAAAACAATATCGAGAACGTATCGAAACGAGCAATATCAATGTATTTCGCAACTAATGCCACAGCCATAATAATTTTGCCCAAAGTTCAGCCCTCAATAAGACCTAGTTGTCGCATTTGGAAAAATTCATTTCACTCGCGTGCCCTCTTTAAGCCGGAAAATTCTCCGAGTGCGATAAGCCTAGTTTATCATCTAGGGATGGCCGACCCGTCCATGTCACGTGTCATCTTTCCCACTCGATTGAGAAATTTCAGTGGCGCCTACGAGTTACATAATGATGCAAAGAGCTCTCATGCATCTCGATACAGTGTTCAACCGAATGATTCCGATTTTCTCATTTATGCGACCGAAAGGCACGTGAAACTGAAACTCCAGATTCCCGTCTCTCGATTTCACCCGTGCTCTCACATTTCATTCTGATAATCCCTCTCTCTCTCTCCCCCTCTCTCTCTCTCTCTCAAATGGGGATAAGAACCATCCAACACACCTGAGACCTGAAGAGGGGAGGCTGGCACGAAATCGCGACACCGAACTGAAGAAAGCCACTCGCCCGCACTAGCCTGACTCTCTCGGGACCCGGCCCCGAGCGAGGAGAGGCGACCGATCCGCCATCGCCGAAGGGGAAGGGGAAGAGACACAAGCGATTCTATAGTGGGAAAATCCGTTCGCTCACGGGGGTGAAACGAGTCCCATCGGTGCCTTTTGTTGCATGACCCTCTCTGCACGCCGTTCTGTTCTTTCGTTCGCTGACTGTGACTCCAGAATATCTCTTTCCCTCGCGCGTTCGGAAGATTGCGCTTAGAATAGTTCAAACTAACCCACCTTTTTCGTGGCATTTTGGGAGCGACACAAAAATGAGGAATAATAATGTAGAGCACTAATTGAATGCTGCAGACTTACGTGAGACACTGTCGTAATCATGCGACAGGACTGGCAACGCGACAAAATTATGATATGATCATTACCGGCAGTTGCCAAAGCAGCGACTTCCGTAATCGCCGAAATTAGGCACAGACGCCCTATAAGGTCAACGTGGTAAGAATTTTTGGACTTTCGACAGGATAAGAATCGCCTCCGGGTCATAGGCTTTCCATTAACACCTCACTCATGAAAATCCGTTCATCCAGTTAGGAGTTTCCCGGAATGGCGCACAGACTCTTATGTCTGTGGAAGATTCGACCCACTCTGAGAGGATACATAACATATCACATCTCTCTAGAGATGTTGAGTAATGCAACTACCTTGTGATGCAACTTTCGAAGTTTTTTTTTTTTTAAAGGTTTTCGCGAGGTCTAAGCCCTCGTCCACGGGTCTCATGGCTCCGGAAAAATTTCTTTGGAATTTGAAAAGTCCATGTCGAAATTCCTTAAAGGAAGAGTAGGAATTATATTGCCCATAATATTCCCCTTCCTTTAGGAACGTATGAGAATCCCTTAAGGTCTCAACTTCCCATGGGAGCATGACAACGTTTCGTAGGTGCTTTGAAGGATTATTACCGAAACGAGTCAAAGTGTGAAATAACCTGATTCGAACATAAAACAATTCTATGGGAATTTTGTAAAAATTTCCCGCGTTTTCTTTCCCCTATGCAAAAGTGGTATTCTCTCTTACCTCAAAAGTTTCAAATAACAGTCATAGGGGAACCAAGAAATTTCAATGGGAATTCTCCAATGGGAATGACTGGTCACCTATCACGGGTGGCGAAGAGCCCCCGAGCGTAATTCAAATTTCCTGGGGCTTATTTGCCTGAAATATCTCCGAGAAACCTGAATCTCCTCAGAAAATTTTTGCAGAAAATTGTTAGAGTGGAGAGTATATTGACATAGCAAGAAACATCTCTATGCCACATCCTCGACGAAAAGATACGGAATATGCATTGCGAAAAGGTGCAAAGTCGATCGTCGGCACAGCCAACCGAACGGCACCGAATAGCCTACGCACGCCTCCACAGCTGAAGTCGCGAACGGGCGCGAGCAGACTTGGAGAAACGCTTGCACGGCGAACATTCCACCGAGCGGAACGCGAGACTGGGTGCGGAGTCGGAAGGGAGGATGTCTCGTGTTCGGAGGGAGGGAGGGAGGATGTTTCGTGTTCGTCCTTGACGTGGATGACAGGGACGACACGCCAAGGCGTCGAATCGTGGCCGGGCGAATGATGCCCACCCACGACACATAATTGACACATAATTGGAGAAGCCATCTCGTTCGTTCTCGACGGTGTCCTTTCGTCGGCTGTGGGATCCGATTCCAGATCGTGGCGCGACTCAGAGCCAGAACCGTTTAAAGCGAAGTTAAGCGTTAAAAAAATGAGGTAAGACCGGTCTAACGGTGGGGTCACTCGGCCACGAGGAAAGAGGAGAAAAGAGAAGTAAAGAGCACCCACGATTCATCTCGAGTCGTCCTACCTCGAGAAGCCAAGGACCGTGGGACGTTTTTCGGCCATTTTTTACGCGAACCCGATCGCTTCCGGCACTCGTGCACCGAGGTCGGCCGATCGTGGAGGCGCCCGATTCCCTAAACGGATCGGAACGTTTTCATGAGACTCTTCCGCTCGGCCTTCGCGATCCTCGCCCTCGAGGCGCCCGAGTGCGACCGGAGAAGGGATCGACCGACCGACGAGAAGGCGAGAGGGAGCGTCGGATTCCGCCACGGGGTCTGCCTCGTCAAAGGCTTGCCATGCCCCTATTCGTACCCGAGAAGGGCTGCGTGGACGGTTCGAGGGTCGTGTTCGTGTTTCGTTCGAAGGGATCCGTGAGGGCATCGAAGGGCATGAATGCAATTATTAATCTTGGAGTCGGGCGTCGGATCGAGAATTCCCCCCTCGTTCGCGTGCTGCTTTTGGTCTGGCGTCCACAAATGCTTCTTCCCTAACGTTCGGCCGAACGGCGATCGTTCTCGCGATTTCGACGGGGAAGAGGATGCGGAAAATGGCCTGCAGCTGCGGTTCGGGCCGCTACGCGACGGTCGAAAGGAACTTCCAAGGAAAACGCCTCGTTGACGCACGAAATCCCAAAAGAAGTTTCCGTTACGTAACGCGACGGTGGGAACTCACGCAGCCGGCGAGGGCCAGGAGGACGCGGAATCCGGATCCCATGTCGATCGGTGTCCGTCCGCCGCCACGAGTGGAGGAGCCGTCCCCTCCCCGCTCCTCTTTTGTCTCCTCTCGTGACGTCAGCCGACGAGGCGACTGCGATAGTTTCTTTTTTTTTTTAACTTTGGCGAGTCGGGTGGCAACTGCTCGGGCGAAGCCAGATGCGAGACGTGTCGTGCGTGGCTTCGGGTGCAAAAAAGTTTTAAATAAATTTGCAGGGACCTCGTAAGATCCGAGTCTGGTCGCCGAGCTTCAAAAGAGTTAAGGGCAATTTCACGAGGGCAATTCCATGAGGGCAATTCCATCGGTCTCCCATTAGGACCCCCTCGGAGAACTTCCTTTCGAGTCCATTTTAAATTGCAAAGGTCGTGACACGCCCAGTCGATTCGGAACTCGATGGAACCTCCTTGAGGAGCCGGTCGTGACCGTGACCGAGGGGGTCACGACCATGACCGAGGGGGTCACGACCATGACCGAGGGGGTCACGACCGTAACCGAGGGGGTCACGATCCGTGAGTCATCCCCAGAGAGTGACTGGCGGGCGGCCGTGACGGGAAAAGGAGCCCCAAACCCTCGTGCTCATTTTTTCAAGGACATTTTAAGCCACTTCGAGCAAGGCGAGTAGGACATTTTCCACATTTTCAAGAAATGGCACATCGGCATTTTTTTTTTTCAGAAACCGTTCGGTCGAGAACGATGAGTGGCGTTGTTCCCCATCGATGAATTAGTGATATTCCAGTCGAACGGCATGAGTGCAGTAGATCGCAGGTCGAACCTAAGTGCGATTATTAAAGCATCGCGCATATCGGAGGGGTTTTTTTTGGCCATTTGGAGTCGCGGATCGCCTCATCTGCTACCTAAAGCATTAAGCTACCCAAGGCTTAGAGTGACCTAAGGCTTAAAGCGGTGAGACTCGACTCGGTCCGCGGACTGCGGTCGGTCGTCTCCTTGGCTCGGATTAAAAGCCTTGGAAGCGATCTCTGAGAAGGTCGCGTCTCAAATTTAAATTCCTTCGCCGGAATGTAAAAACCTCTTTCGATCGTTTCTCGCCTCGAATCTCATGTTTGAATGACGTTGGGAAACGAGGAAAATGATGAGAAATGGCTCTTTTCCCCCAAGGCCGAAAAACGTTGCGTCACGTCGTCCGCGAGTTTCCGTCGCGAACCGGAAAATTTCAAGAGCAATTCGTCGCATGCGACAAATAGACAGCATAACAGTCGTTCCGACCGACTCGTCGAACGGTCACGCTGCAAATCGACTTCGGAAATGAATAAATGAAATAGACTCACAGGCCTTGGAAAAACCGTGGCGAGAGCCCTGCCGGCCTCTATGCTCCGCCACGCTTTCAGGATCCCCGTCGAGTTGGAACGGATGGGACCGAACTGGGTGAAGACGCAGAGGAAAAACCCAGTGAGGACCCACTTCAGCCCGATGAGAGCGCATATCAGCCTGGTTTTGCTCGCGCTCACCGACCGCAAGCAGCGTCCGCGACGTGGAAGACGCGATGGGCACGGAGGACGCGATGGGCACGGAAGACGCGATGGGCACGGAGGACGCGATGGGCACGGAGGACTCGGAGGGCACGGAGGAATCGCACCGGCCGATCGAGATCGCTTCAGTCTGGCTGCCATTTTTCCTATCGGGTGGACTTCGTCCCTCGACATCCTCGTCATGCGGCGACGTTCTTTCTTCCCTGAAGGAAGGAAATCGCATTCCGCACGAGCAACTGTTGCCTGGACGAGTGAGGAACGATCGCTCGGTCACTTTTCGGTGCA